AACATTGAGCACTCACTTGTTGAGCTCACTTTGAATTTCAATCTGCAGACGACGATTACTACTAATATTCTGTGCAAGATGTGCATACTTTTCCGAAAGATAGTCAACCAAACTCGAGCCAAACGACAGCGATGCCATATGCTGAAATGTCTAGCTGAAATGAGGGCTTTTGGAGCTGATTTCGAAATATCGAAAATTCATTTCGATTCTTTCAACAGCCATACTTTGAATGAAAATGCAACAGTTTATTGTTTGATCAAAGGCTTACGAAACAAAAATTAGTGACGACCGCAAAAACAGTGAGTGACGAAAGGACATAGACTTGTTCATACGCATGAATGCGAAACAGTTCAGCCGTTACAGTGTGTGTCAGCAATACGTGCTTCATACGACCCGTAAATATCAACGTGACGGACAGACAACATCCACTGAGAACTGCACAAAGTGTACCGAATAACATCAACATCACCGATCGTGAGCCTTCACCACATATCTGAAAACAAACGAAATCTACCAGCAGCATAACTTTTTGATTCAAAAAGCTCCACACAATTGCAGCTTTTTCAGTCATTGTAACATTGAAGGAGAATTTAGATGCAGACAGGTCCCGTGATTTTAAGGATGGAAGAATTGCTCGTTCATACGAAAATGTAGCGGAAAATGTGTTGAATTTGTCCCCGAAGTTAAGATATAAAGATGTAGAAAATTGCCCAATGCAAGTTTTGTTGCCTTTTGAAACACCTTTATTTTCGTCGGATTCGAATGCGTAGAACTTACCATTCCAAAAAATAATTTGAGTTCAAGCCAGAATCCTCGCTTCCGTTTGCTGGAGCTGCAAGTTAAGACCCATTCATCTTCAGAATCATAGAATCGACAAACTTTTCATTAGCTCCAGTAAGTTCCTTCCAACGAACCCCTCATAGAAGATAGTTAACGAACAGCATCAACTCAACCCACCAATTTCACTGACAAGTTTTCCAGTTGGAATCATGAACTTCCCTTTGCGAAATTTTCCAAAATTGGCGCAGGTTTAGCATCAATAGCAGCAATACAGATGCTCGTGGTGGCATGCACTCAACAAGCAATAACATGGAGAATCTGAACGATCTCCAGTTGAAAAAACTCCATTGATGAGTGACAAATCAACGCCATCACCTACCTCATCGCATCGTTGAGTTGATTGAACTTAACTTCAATCATTTCTTCCATCGGTGCATTCCAGTTGTCCT